GCTAACTCTAGCCCCAAGAGGATGTCTAGCCACTCATGAATGGTGTCCTCCAACCCTCAAGTGCTATCTCTATGGTAGAAATGCTCTTCTTCTTGAAGTAGATGGAAGACCTCTCAAGAATGTGTCTTTAGCCTCCTCTTCTCTTTTTTTCCTCTCTAAGAATAATCAAAAACTGTATCTATCAACTCCTAAAAGCATCTATGTAAAAGTGGCTCATAATCCTTATATAGGTAGCTCTAATGTCACACCCAATGGTCTAGGCTCGTACACAAGGGCTCCTCCAATGATTGCACAATGAGACAACTTTTAATGAGCTAGAAATTAATTTAATTCGCACTTGAGAGGGTTCGATCGATCGAACCTATGTTGAGATCAATCGAACTTGGTTGAATCGATCCTCTCATGGTGGCGCCTTTTTGGATAAGGACAGATCTGAGATATTTTGGGGAAAGAGACAAAAGTGGTAGGTAGGGTGGTACAACAGGATAAGATGGAATCTTTTCGATACCACCCTACCTACCACTTTTGTCTCTTTCGATCGAAGAATTGTTAGATCGATCGAACTTTGTGGTATCTTTAGATAAGGACAAAAGAGCTTGGATCCATCTTGGAGAGTCTAGATCGATGAACTTTCGATCGATCAGAGTATTCTTGAGATCGATCAAACATTCTGTTTCCACACTTTGCTTCATTCTGCTTCCACTTTGCTCATTTCTTCCATCCATTTTGAGTTAGCTTCTGTTAAGCTCTTATTTGGCTGAATTAGCTTATTTTGGGGATAAGCACCTAAAAAAGACAATAACACCAAATTAGTCTAAAACGGGAAAGTAAGATAGATAAAGATCCTAAAATACCTAAGCTTAAGGGGTTTAAATACGCACTTTTCAGCGTTCATCAATGGTTCATCAATTACAATCCAGAATAAACATAATCAAAATCTGATATGTATAAAACCATATAATGCATCCAAAACAAGATTTAAAAATCATGTTACAGTCCGTTAAATTGCTAAAATAAAATTAAGCAATTAAATCCCTTCTATCCGTTAACAGCATGCCAACTTATTTAAACTTTCATACTGTTAAAAATCAATAGCATGCAGGTTAAGATTATGCATCACGGGATCCTAACATGTCATGAAAAATAATTTAGAATCCCATTTACCAACCCAAAACAGTCCTGAAATTTAAAACAAAATCAAAATTGTGCTTTAAAAAAAATTCCCGTAAGTTACTATGCAAGAGAGCTTGCTCTCAAAATGAGAGAGCAAGCTCCCACACAAGGGAGCCAGCTCCCTAACCTTGGGAGCTGGCTCTGTGACCTTGAGAGCTGGCTCCCTAATTCCATGGAGCCGGCTCTCTCTCTCACAGAGAGCCACGGGCTAAAAATAAAAGGGAGCCGGCTCTTTCCCCTTTAGAGTTAGCTCTGTCCCTGCTTCCTGTCATCATCTTCATCTTCGATGACGTTAAAAACCCTCTGAAAACATTAGTTTAAGTTCCTAGAGGTTCGACTAAGTCCTAAATCATCCAAAAAAATCATATATCTTAGTATGCATCGTTACAAGATTTAAAACAAAAATTGAAACAAGTTATCTAGTAAATCAAATTCAATTAATCAACGCATATATTATAGTTTAAAAGCTGAATTAACATGCATACTTAATTACTTTTAATATCCATTTAGTTCCTGGAGCCTACCTAGGCATGCACAGAACATATATAGGTCAAAGGAAAAGAGTAAGAAATAAAACTTGCCTTTGGTTTCAGTTTTGAAACCTTAAACCGTCTTCTTTAACTTTTTCGGCAATCCTTCCCTACTCTAACTCCTCTGTTGCCCCTTGGTTCAACCCACGAGTAACACCACTTCGTTCTCTCCTTGGCTTAATGTTAACCTTAGCCAAACCCTAAGTTTCCCTCTCTCTGTTTTCTTTCAGACCTCTCTGTTTTTTCTCTCTGCCTCCACTACTACATGAATAGGGTTCTAAACCCTTGGCAGACGCATAAAGTTATATATATAGGCAACACTAATTAACCTAATTTCAATTATACTTAGAAAAGGAAAAAGAAAATAAAATAAAACTAAGTCGGCAAATTTTAATGAATATAAATAAAACCCTAAAACTTTATATTACATAAAAAAAAAATAATAAAAAATAATAAAAAAAACTAATTGAATTATTAACAATTATTAATAATTAACCTAATCCAAAATACATATATACCCATATATACATATATATCCATCCATTGTCCGTTAATCCTAACCAATTAATCCACACTATCCAAGTCCAACTCCCTAATAAAAAAATAAATGCCTGATGCAAACAATTAAATTAAAAACAATCCACATAAGTATATATGTTCAAATAACAAATAAAACATTTTAAACGTATAATACAATTCCACATAAGCACAACTAACTTAAAACAAATAATTCAACTAAACAATTAAACACATACCATCAAGTCACATAAAAATATAGCCACTTAATCCATTAAAATGCACAAGAAATAAAAATTAAATTCCAATTATATCATTTTGAAAACTAAGGGTATTACACTTGGGTTAGCTTGTACTGAACAGTGAGTCGCGAACCATTAGCACCCTGAAGTCGCTCTTTAGTTTTCTCAAAGTATTTTGTAGGAACAAGTCCTTCATTAATACAGTTGAGATCAGCACCAGAGTCAATAAATGCTATAGTTTGAATGGTAAAGGTTTTGTTGATGACGATTTTGGGGTTGACATGCCATTTCTAGAATGTTATTTGGGTCAGAAGGTTAATATAAGTCTCATTGTCTTTGGTAAGCCTTTCAGAAACTTCTTGTTCAGGTTTGTAGAAGTATTGGATTTGGGTTTTCTAAATTAGGTTCAATGGTTCATTTTTTTTAATTACTTTTTAATTTTATTAACTTTTGTTATTATAAATTAGTTTGTATATATATTTGTATATTTTGTTTTTGAGTTGTGATTAATTATATTTATATTGTTGAAAAAGTCACTTTTTATTTTTTGCCGAAGGCTCCAAATTAGATTGAGCCGCCTCCACGAGTGATGCGACGATTGGTCATGATACTGCTAAGTTTTCAATTCATGCCATAAAAACTACTATGTTTTGTGCATATTATCAGGATCACATCCTTACGGTTGTAATACATGTCATATGTACTCTTGTTTTGTAATGGTTGTTTTGTTTCCCAAAAAAAAAAAATGCGTGTTTCTTTTGTAAAATATATATGGTGAGTATAATTTTTCTTTCCAATGTGTGGTTAGATCACTTACATCAAGAGTCACCTCGTGAAAGAGTTTTGTTAGGTCTTCTATGCTAAATTTAGCTCGTGCAATTTTTTTTTTTTGTAAAATATATATGGTGAGTATAATTTTTCTTTACAACGTGTGGTTAGATCACTTACATCAAGAGTCACCTCGTGAAAGAGTTTTGTTAGGTCTCCTATGCTAAATTTAGCTCGTGCATGTTTTTTGGTAAAATACATATGGTGAGTATAATTTTTCTTTACAACGTGTGGTTAGATCACTTACATCAAGAGTCACCTAGTGAAAGAGTTTTGTTAGGTCTTCTATGCTAAATTTAGCTCGTGCATGTTTTTTTGTAAAATATATATGGTGTGTATAATTTTTCTTTACATGGTTAGATCACTTACATCAAGAGTCACCTCGTGAAAGAGTTTTGTTAGGTCTTCTGTGCTAAATTTAGCTCGTATTTAGTTAGTATCTCACGTAGTTTTGGCATTCAAGTTTGAATCACTCTTGCTTTACTATTTTCATCGTATTAGATAGCCCTTACCGTTAATAATAGTGAAGAATACCTTTTGTAGTGTTAAATTAAACTCAGTCAATTATTAGGTATGGGTATGGTTGGAGCTCAATATTTTTATTTCTTTTGAGAAAGATGTTAGTATAAATGTGCCAGGTGAAAACTTTTTGTTGTTGAAACTTATAACCAATGATGTTGTGGGTGAGATGAGAATCAGTAACATTTTGGTTATAATTAAGTCTTTTATTTTTAAATTGAATTAAAGACGATTTAGTCTTTCTCATCTTTTAAAAGAGAAAGTGGAAGATTCAAATATCTTAATATCTTAAAAATTAGATTGCATTTGTTTTTTCAAGCTGATGCTTTGTCTAAGAGCATCCAATGATTGATCTGATTTTAAAACCATAGTTTTAGTTAGAAAATTGTTTTTACCTCGTTTCCTTAAGACTATTTTCAGTTAAATGAATTTAAAGAATCATGTGTGCGTTCAAAAACTTATTATTGCCTCTATTATGTAAAGTCAAAACAATTTTGCTATCTCATTTATTATTGTGATCTAGTGGTATGTCTTGTCTGAATACTGTGTGTGAATTTTTTTTTGTCAATAAACTATATATATATATTACCATGAGACATGTCTATTGATTAAATTAATTACGCTATATAGGCCGAAAACTTCAGCCCAAGTCGATTTTCAGCCTATTTCACTTGCATTCCTTAGATAGTGACAGATATAAATAATTCTACCTCGGACTTTGGCTAAATGTGTCATTTTTCCTTAGATCATCTATAAAACAATAATGATTATAAATTTAATGGAGGAACAATTTTGGGTTCATTCATTCTGTGCATTGCATGAGTCAAAAACATCACAACTCAACAATGAATCACCACTAGGCATATCATTTTTATGCTTCATTAATGTCGATATAAATATAATGTTATTATTTATATATATATATTGATACAGTAAAATTTTTATTTTTAATCTTTTGTTTCTGTTCATTTCGGAACCCAGGTATACAAGGTTCTGTCTTGAATATTTTTCGGAACACCGTGCAAAGCACTCTCCCTTCATTTGAGTGAGTAAAGCTCGAATTTTCACCCGCGGATGTGATCCTAATCAATTGTTTATACTCAATGGGAGTTGAACCTTAGACATGCATGATGTTATATGGGACAGTAGGGACAAGTGACCAACAACTTAAAACAAATTCCTTAGGGTTCACCAAGTAATTATACATTAAACCATAAACGTACACACAATTTATTAGCAGATACACACTTTCATACACAAGCACCACCCATATGCAAGACATTCTTGCAGGTACTAGTTTCTCCACACCCTCGCACACTATTTATTAATAGCACATACATATAATTCATAAGAGGAACTCCCAAACTTTTATTATACATAAATATATTTGGGACCACAATGACATATATATATATAGATAGGACTTTTTGCCTATTTCTTCTTGAGGTGATGAGTTTCAATGTCTTTGGTGAGAGCAATGCAGACGTCCATCAATGTGGTTGGATATGGGACATTGTCACTCAGCTTCTCATATTCAAAGGTCCATGTCACCAAGTTGTTTTCACCCTTTGTATCAACATGAAACGTTACAGAGAAGTTCTTGTAAAGCTTCAGGAGATCTCCTTCAACGACCTTGAAAGTGATGGACTTCTTTTCCTCATCTATGGATTCGATGAGCTCTTTCGCAACACATGCTTTCCCATCTATGGATAATCCATAAAATGTATTATTACGAGAATGAATTGTATATAATGACTCTTCAGTCAAACCATGAATAGAGAGATCCATCTGTATCTTAATGAAAAACATGCTACTAATAGTATCATGTATTTGCAGGCAAACCTGTGCATAAATATATACACGCTGTGTCTACTGTGTGTTTTATTTCTTTTTGCAACATGGAATAGGTACCCGTCTAGTTAGGAAATCTGAAGCTAGCGTAAGATCAAAATTAAGGAATGAAGCACGTGCTTAATTACAATGGTGAAAGATAAATTAAATATGTGAGGCTTATAGATCAAAAAGATGCAAAAGATTAAAGGCCAAGTTTGTAAGAATATTTCTCGAGATGAAGACAATACCAAGTAGGAATATGCTTAGGTTTTTGTCTTTAAAAATAGTAACTCAGTAAAACAAAATTTTGTTTTCGAATAATTATAAAAAACACTTCTCAAAAAATATGAATCTGCTTAATTTGTAACTCTGAAAATAGTTCTCGATTACTTAGAAAATGTAAAACTGTTTTCAGAGAACTATAAAAGGCAGTTTAATGAAAATATACCTTTTTGTAACTAAGTTTTTAGAAAATAGGTTTGAAAAAACTAAATCAAGTAGAGTTTTTTTACAATTTTCTGATTTTCAGTTCTTTGTCTGCTTGATTTGTAACTTTAAAAATAATTCTTGACTACTTAGAAAATAAAAAATTATTTTCAGATAACTATAAAAAATAATTCTGTTAAAACATGCATTTTTATAACGGAGTTTTCAGAAAAAAAAAATGAATCAAGTAAAGTTTTTTTACAGTGGTCTGATTTTCAGTTATCTGAAAATAGAAAACTATTTTCAAAGTTACAAACTAAGACCAATGGGCCAGTGGCCTAACGGTATCAACCTCTTATTTCTCAAAGGGAGGTCAGGGACGCAAGTATCGGAAGAGACATATGTGTGTGAGTATCAACTAGGAAAAAAAAAATTACAAACTAAGGTTTTTTGTAGGCTTGCTTTGTAACATAAAATTGTTTTCAATAACTATAAAAGACAGTTATTGAAGACAGACTTTTTTATAACTGAATATTCAAACACTATATTCTAGAAAACTGAATCAAGTAAGTTTTTTTGTCCAACTTTCTGAAAATAGAATACTATTCTCAACCAAGCTTTTACTAAAAACTCAATTCTCGAAAGAAAATTTTTGTAAACAGTAAGCCTAACCAAGTAAGTTGTAACTTCATGTTTTCTAAAAACTCAGTAAAAAACTGAAAAGGAAATCTAAAGCTAGCATAAGATCAAAATTAAGGAATGAAGCTCGTGCTTAATTACAATGGTGAAAGACAAATTAAACAGTGTGAAGCTTATAGGTCAAAAAGATACAAAAGATTAATGGCCAAGTTTGTACGAATAGTTCTTGATTTTCATAGCAACGAAAACAATACCAAATAGGAATATATGTTTGATTTGTCACTCAAAAAATAGAACTTAAAAATTAAAAAATAATAATAATATTTATAAAAGAGACATTTCATAAACCAATTCTCAGTTTGTCCCTCGAAAAATAAGTTTTTTGTAATTGAATTTTCATATGTCAGTTCTTGAAATTATCAAACAAAAAGATTTTTGTAAATATAAAACTGAACCAAGCAAGCTGGAACTTCATGTTTTCTAAAATTTCCGTTAAAAATTACATTATTTATTTATTTATTATTATTATTATTATTGTTGTTGTTGGTAAGTAAAACTCCGTGTTCTTTTGAGTTCTCAAAGTTTCTCAAGCTGACCAAAGGGCCTCGTCTAGGGTATAAGCTTTCTATCCTCAAATAGGAGGAGAGGAATTCAAGCCAAGCGTGACAAAAAAAAGTGTGTGTTTATTTTACCATTCCAAAAAAAAATTATTCCTCAAACTCCATCTATTCAAAAAGTTCATCTAAGCATATGCTTAAAATTCTAAATATATATATGTTCGGGATCGCTTCACATTAGTGGTTTCTGTATCATGAAATATGTTTAAAAAACAGCTACTGAACATAAGTTTGTATCATGAAATAAGTTTAAAAAATCATATATACACACACGGACACACACACATGTTTTTGTATGTGTATAATATATATATATATATATAGATAGATATTGCCTTAGAGTATTGCATGTATACTTTCTCGGAATTTAGAAATGAGTGTGTTGTCTTACCATGGATATAATTCCAGAGGTAGATAGAGCCTACAGTGCCCCAATCACCTTGATGCAAACCACAACCCTGTATACAACCAGGACTGATGTTTGGTATGTCATGTGGTGTGTTTCTGAAGAGTTCATGAAACACATCACCACCAGACTTGATCTCTATTTGGGCTACCAACTTACCACATAAACCCATATTATCTCTTCTCTATAAAACCACCACAATATTAATTCAGTAATTAATGCAATTGGAAGCAAGAAGCCTTGGAGAGCATACTTGCCCTGAACACCTCATTATATAGTAGATCTTTGAGCATCGATATTTATTTAATAATATGTCACATCATATCAATTATGATACGGTGGACTCCACTGGTTGTTCCGCATAATATATGTCATTACTTACGTATCTTTTACTAGCTACTTTTTCGCCTTAGATATCAATACTATATATAGATCTATACTATCTGTTATATAAATCAAAATTTCATTTTTTATACATTTTAAATAAAATTTATATTTATATAATTAATGGCCTGCTTATATATGCATCAGTTACTATTTTCTTATTGTACTTCGAACAACTCTATATACATTCATACATATATATATATATATATGTCCATTCATATTTGAAAAAAAAACAAAAACTTAGTGTAGAATATAAATCATATATAAGAAAATTACTCTCGAAAAACATGGAACCGGATGCATTCTAAAATAGAATTGGTTTTTTTTTTTTTTCAATCCGCACTCTTTTTATTTTCACATGCTAAATTCAAAAGTCAGATCCTCTCCATTTAAAAGGTATTGAGGTAAAGATTAAAAATATTAAGATAAAGATTAAAAAGTATTGAGATAATGATTAAAAGATATTGAGTTAGATATTAAAGGTATTGAAAACAAAATTAAATGGTATTGAGAATAAGATTAAAAAGTGTTGAAAATAAGATTAAAGGTGTTGATAACAAGATTAAAAGGTGTTGAGAACAATATTAAATGTATTGATAACAATAGTAAATGTGTTGAGAAAAAGATTAAAATTTGTTGAGGACAAGATTTAAGGTATTAAGAGAAATATTAAAAAGTATTGAGAATAAGATTAAAAGTGTTAAAAATAAGATTAAAAAGTATTGAGAACAAAATTAAATAAGTGGAAAAAAAGATTAAAGGTGTTGAAAAAAAAAAAGAAAAAAAAAAAGGGTTTTGATAACAAGATTGAAGGTGTTGAGAAAAAAGATTAAAAGGTATTGAGAACAAGATTAAAGGTGTTGAAAAAAAAAAAGATTAAAAAGTATTATCTTTAACGGTGAATAAGATTGTGTTGAAAAAAAAAAAAAAAAAAAGGTGTTGAAGAGGTTGAGAAAAAAAATTAAATGTGCTGATAGTAAGATTAAATGATGTTAAGAATAAGATTAAATGGTGTTGAAAACCAGATTAAATGTATTGAGGTAAAGATTAAAAGTGTTGAGATAAAGATTAAAAGGTATTGAAGTAATGATTAAAATGTGTTGAATTACAGATTAAATGTGTTGAAAACAAGATTAAATGATGTTGAGAATAAGATTAAATGTGTTGAGAAAAAAGATTAAAAAATGTTGAAAACGAGATTAAAGGTATTGAAAAAAAAGATTAAAAAGTGTTAGGAATAAGATTAAAGGTATTGAGAATAATATATAAAACTGTTGAGAACAAGATTAAAGAGATTGAGATTAAGATTAATGGTATTGAGAAAAAATGAAAAATGGTGCTGATAACAAGATTGATGATGTTGAGAAAAAAGATTAAAAAGTGTTGAGAACAAAATTAGAACTGTTGAGAAAAAAGATTAAAAAGTGTTAGAAAGGTATTGAAGTAAAGATTAAAAGGTACTAAGGCGAAGATTAAAGTGTTGAGATAAAGATTAAAAGGTATTGAGGTATTGATAAGAAGGTATTGACTTATAGATTAAAGGTGGTGAAAACAAAATTAAATGGTGTTAAGAACAAGATTAAAGAGGTTTAGAATAAGATTAAAGGTGTTAAGAAAAAATATTAAAAAGTGTTAAAAACAGGATTAAAGTTGTTGAAAAAAAAAGATTAAAAAATGTTGAAAGGTAGTAAGGTAAAAATTAAAAGGTATTGAGGTAAAGATTAAAAGTGTTGAGATAATGATTAAAATGTATTGATATAATAATTAAAGGTGTTGAAAATAAGATTAAATGGTGTTGAGAATAAGATTAAAAAGTGTTGAAAATAAGATTAGATGTATTGATAACAAAATTAAAAGGTATTGAGAATAAGATTAAAAAGTGTTGACAACAACATTAAATGTATTGATAACAACATTAAATGTATTAGGAAAAAAGATTAAAAATTGTTGAGTACAAGATTTAAGGTGTTGAGAAAAAGATTAAAAAGTGTTGATAAAAAGATTAAAAAATGTTAAGAACAAAATTAAATAAGTTGAGAGGTGTTGAGCAAAAAAAAAAAAAAAGTGTTAAGAATATTTATTTTTTTCTTTCTATTTTATTTTTTAGGTGATGCTTAAAGAACCCAGTACAACCATGTTATTTTGAGGTACACCGTGATGAGAGAGTGAGATGGTCGGACGGTGACGAGAGAGGGAGGCACTAAAGCAGAAGAGGATTTTTTTTTTTTTTTTTTTTTCTATTTTATTTCTTTTTAACGTTATTCCTTTTTTGGTAGGACTCTAAAGTTACCAATTTAAAAAAGAGTAGTGATAGAGAACCCGATTGGTTATCCCAAATTCTCACTGAATCTCACGTGGTTAAACCACGTCAAGTTCATTAAATATTTCTAAAGAGTAAAAATTTAAAATCTCCTCTCACCTAACGTGTCTTGAGTGGGTCCTACACCAATCATAGTTGTCTTCAACCTCAAGACATGGGTTCTGTTTACAGGTCTCCCATCTTTTACCTACAATCTAAATCCAAACTCTTTTCCATCAATGATTTCAAAACGAAAAGAAAAAATAAAGTGCAAAAAATAAAAGGAAAATTGGGGAAAATACTAATATAATGAAGGTAATATAATGAAGGTGCTATTATCTTCTAAAATTGTTTCCCTGATGAGAAAACAAAAGTATAAAATTAGCAAATAGAATATACAATGTATAGACATAGATATATTATCCTACTTTTTTAAAAAAAGAAAAAAATATTGAAACTCATCATATGTTGAACACACACTTTGGGACTGGACAGTAGGCACACCCCTTTTCTATCTTTGTTTACTATCGGCCCTTTTTTTTTTTTTTTTTTTTTTTTTTTTTTGTTTTCGATTTCATGCGCATGAGTTTCCAAACTGTAAATCATTGTCATTATGTGCTACGATTAAAACTTAGAGTTTGATCCAATTTGTGCGGTTGAAGATGAAACCCACCCAAGTCACGTGAGGTGAGAGAGAATGTTGAATCCTACCTGTCTTAAAAGATATATAATGAATCTTATCTGTCTTTGGCCACATCAGATTCGGTGAAATTTCGAAAATTACCATTCGGGTTTTCTATCATTATTCTTTAAAAAAAAATACATTTTTTCAATACAGCATGGGTACAGACCCGTTTAAAACAGATGATCTTAGTCCATCAATTATGGCATGGTGGGCTCCACTGGTGGTTTCACATTTTTTTAATTTTTATTTTTTCAAAGCAAGAAGGGTTAGAAGTTAGATTAGTAGGTGCAAAGAGTCGAAGTCTAGTACTCTCAAAATCCACCGGAGGCACTAACCACTGGATTATCGAGGCATCTGCATTTTCTTATTGTGTTTCGAACTATTATATATATATATATATATATATATATATATATATATATATATATATAACCATTTATGTTTTTTTAAATAAAAAAAAAAAGAAAAACAAAAACGTAGTGTGGAATATAAATCATATATCAAAAAATTACTCTCGAAAAACATGGAACCGGTTGCACTGGTTGTATTTGTTGGGATTTATATGCCCTGGCATAGCAAATTCCTATTTGAATTATAGTGACATATGTTCCTGACGTTTCTGAAATATTTATGCTTGATACAATTGGTGAATTCAATATATTATGTTTCGATTCATTATAGAATTGATAGTGTCCACTTGATTACAAGAGATATTTATATATATATGTGATGGCGATCAATACATAAATATAAATAATAATCATAAATTGTTCATAGTCGGTAATTATGGATAGACTCATAATTAATTAAGACTTGAACTGGATCCGCGTTAGGTTGAGATATATTGCGAGAGCCGTCGTATGCAATTGGTCCCTATCACTCTCATGGCATTTGACTCTTAAATATAAGAAAAATATAAACTCTTTTATTAATTAATAATTACTTTGATTTGTTCGGCGGATACTTCGGAATCCTTAGACCGACACTTTGGATACTTATGTAATTAATAATTAGAGAGTTATATTTTCAATATTTGCATCATTGCTATTTGTATTTATTTTGTATTGATTATGGTTGATCACAAAGTAAATTCGAACGCCTTCGTGTGTTTTTAGACAAAATGATTTATTATATATTTATTTATTTAAATTATTATTTTTGTCATACAAATGTTTTATTGTGATCGAGCCAGAAATAATCAAAGATACCAAAATAAATATATTAATTAAGAAGTAGGATTGATGGCTTTATTTATCTGATAACTAATTATTCATAGAGGGGTCAAAATATAACATTTTCTTAGAGGTTATTTATTATTTAATTAGAGTTTAATTAATTTTTTTTAGTGGAGTAGAAATTAATTTATGAATTAATTGAATTGGGTCCATGAATCAGGCCAATTATTAATTCATTGTAACCAATAAAATAATAAGCCCAAAGGATTCTCACTCATAGCCTAACTTGATATTGGAATCCTATTAGATTTGAGACATGTGAATTAGTGATTGAGAATGGTTTATTGTTTTCTTTTTTTTTTTAATCTTTATGTTGCCTATATATATACATGGTCAATGTATATTTTAGGGGTGAATTTTGGAATAAGGAAAAAGGAATATATTTTCTCTCTCTAGAAAATTAAGGTTAGTGTTCTCATCGAATGGAGGCTCCCACAAACCTAATTTTTCAAGGTCATTCATGGAGGCTTATGAGTGACTCCTAAAGGCAAAACAAGTACCAAGAAGATGGAGATCCAAGAAGAAGACATCTTGCTAAGGGATCTACAATAAGTGAGAACATTCACTTTATAGGAAAGATTTAAAAGTTTACTCAGACCTTTAATGTAAGTATT